CTAAGTTGTTTAGGGCTTTGCTAAATTACTGAAGCTGCCCTTGAACTTGTGATCCTCCTGAGTTGCTGGGATTTACAGGTGTGAGCCACCATGCCCAGCTCAAGAAGACAAGTTTTTTAGGGGTAAAAATTTGTCACCTTCATTTAAACCCATTTACATTTACTTGGGAGAAAAGAAACCAGCTGATGTGAAGCACTCCTGTATTCCAGCTACTCAGGAGGAGGGAGGGGAACCACTTGAGCCTAAGAGTTCGAGACCAGCAATAGACCAACAAACAAATACCTAATATGCTCAAGACCCTGAGTTCAGGTCCCAGCACTGCAAAAATAAGTAAATTTTAAAAATCCCTTAAGACACAAGCTTGCTGGCTTTTCTTTGTTTCTTTCTTTCTTTTTTTAATATTTTTTTAGTTGTAGATGGACACAATATCTTTATTTATCCATTTTTATGTGGTGATGAGGATTGAACCCAGTGCCTCACCACATGCAAGGCGGGCGCTCTACCACTGAGCTACAGCCCCAGCCCTGGCTTTTCTTTTTGTTCCTTAATGGAACTAAAAGGAGACCATGGATAATTTTTTTTTTTTTTTTTTTTTTTTTGGTACTGGGTATCGAACCCAGCTGAGCTACATTTCCAGTCCTTTTTATTTTGTATTTTGAGACAGGGACTTACTGAGTTGCTTAGGGCCTTGTTTAATTGCTGAAACTGGTCTAGAACTTGTGATCCTCCTGTCTCAGCCTCCAGAGTCCCTGGGATTATAGGTGTGGGGCACTGAACTTGGAATGAATGACATTTTGAATAACTTAATAGGAAAGGGTTCAACTCCCCCCCCCTCCCCAACGTGTTTTAGGGAAAGAATGTCTTAAGGGAAATGAATGAGCACCTTTTATAGTACAATAATTTTGGGTTGATCATTCTAAGGGGGAAAAGTCTTAATACCTATTAGTTTTTCTATTTTACTGTTTTCTTTTTAAGTATTAACTTTTCATTGCTTAAACAAACTTTGCTGGCACAGTGGCGTACACCTGTAATCCCAGCAGCTCTGGAGGCTGAGGCAGGAGGATTCACAAACCAGTCTCAGCAACTTAGTGAGATCCTGTCTCTAAATATAAAGTATAAAAAATAAAAAGAGCCGGGAATATGGCTCAATAAATAAGCAACCCTGGGATCAATCCCTGGCACCAAAATAAGTAAGTAAATAAATAAATTTAAAACAATAAACATTTGGTGATGGTATATAGTTATGCAGTTATAGTATAATATGACAGGGGCTGGTGTTGTGGCTCAGTGGTAGAGTATTGACCTAGCATGCATGAGGCACTGGGTTCAACCCTCAGCACCATGTAAGTGTAAAATAAAGATATTATGTCCACTTAGAACTAAAAGATAAATATTAACAAAAAAATAGTATGACAGGCAAATAAGGGTGACATTTTTCCAGAGAGGTGGTAGACAACTAGTGTATAGATAGCTATTTTAATTGTTGGTATAAAAACACTTGGGAAATATTTAATTGGTGGGAAAATAGATTTCCATGCTTCAAAATTTAGAATTTTTTGTATTCAGAATATTTGAAGGAAGAAATGAATCTTGGCAAACTTGTTTAATTTTGATGTTGGTTAAGTTGAAGTTTTAACTGTTCTGTTTAAAGTTTCTTGATTTCTATATATTGGGGAAATTTAGCTAAGAAAAAAGATTGGATATGTGCTTTCAAAGGAGCAAGCTGTTGATTTCTTCAGATTTTAGCCATACTTGAAGGCATTTCATTTTAAAGAGCACTAAAAACCTTTATTGCATATTTTCCTTCAAAACTGTGTGTGCACACATGCATGTATGTATGCACAAGTGTGCACTCAACCACTGGGAATTCAACCTAGAGTATTTTACCACTGAACTATATCTCCAGCACTTTTTTATTTTTTTAATTTTCTAAAATTTCCTAYCTGTGACATTTTTCACTTTGGATCATATTTGATTGCCTTAAAATTCTTGACCCTTATTACATCATTTCTGTTTTCTTCAAAGTTTTTCTTGCCTAGGGTGCCCATTTTCTCGTTTATCCTAACCAGCTTGGTTAGGATATCTTTTGTTTTCCTTTTACTTATTGATATCCCTGGAAATATTAATAGATATTTGCTTTGTTGCATGCTGCTACTCCACTTCCACTGCTTTTGTGTGTGTATGTGGGTGTGTGGGTGTGGTGTTGGGATTGAACCCAGGGTCTTGTACATGCAAGGGAAGCACTCTACCAACTGAGCTATCCCCAGCCCTCCCACTGCTTTTTTGTTGTTGTTGTTGTCTACTGTTTTCTCAGAAATCTGACCTTTGGGGCTGGGGTTATAGCTCAGCAGTAGAGGTCTTGCCTCACACAATGTGAGGCCCTGGGTTTGATCCTCAGCACCACATAAAAACAAATTAAAAAAAAAAAAAAGATATGGTGTCCATCTTAAAAAAAAAAAAAAACTTTGAAAAAAAGAAAAAGAAATCTGACCTTGTGTAGAATTCTTGGGTGAAACAACAGAATTCTGGAGGTGATAAAGTGTGGAGCTCTCTTAGGGTTGGAGAATCATCAAAAGTTATGTTGTATAGCTGCTTGGTAACCTCTCTTAGAGAGCACACACTGACTTCAATCTTTATAGCCATTCTCTTAGTGCTTTTCAAAGGTTATATGATTTTTCATATCATAAGAAATTTTTCAGAAAAATCAGCTGGTTACATACTTTTTGCCATATGACACTTTCATTTTTTGGTATCAGGGATTAAACCCAGGGGTGCTCAACAGCTGAACTACATCACCAGCTCTTTTTTATTTTATACTAAATTGCTTAGGGCCTCACTAAATTGCTGAGGCTGCACCAGGCCATGATACTAAATTTGAGACAATAGTTTTTGTTTTAATATTACTTATACTAAATATATTTATTATAAGTACATATTTTATAACTGAATATCCTTTTAAGTATGTTAATCTTTTAGATGTAGCTCTCATTATGATCCAGCACAATCTCCCCCCAAAAAAGAAAATTGTAAGAAAGCCTGTAGATTATTATTTTTTTAAAAAAAACATTTTTTTCAGTTGTAGATGGATACCTTTATTTTATTTATTTTTATGAAGTGCTGAGGATCGAACCCAGTGCCTCATACATGCTAGCAAGTCTTCACCACTGAGCCATAACCCCAGCCTCATCTGTAGATTATTTATTTGGTGGTTATATGTGTGTGTATTCCAGGGTAAACTGAGTAAAGAAATATTTAGCACTATTTTTGGTTTTAAATCTTTAGGGATTAATGTACATTTTAAAAATAATTAAACCTGTGGCTGGGGATATAACTCAGTGCTTTGGAAACTGACATATTTTATTATATAGTATTCACTCTCCACAAAAATAGCCCTTCTGTGCATCAATGTCACCACCTATCTCATAAGAGAAATCTTTAATTAATGGGAGGCTATCAAGCTTACAAGTAGAAATGTTTTCCAAAATTCCAGTTTTTACATGAAAATCCAACTTTTTTATTGGCCAAAAAGCCATCCCACCCTACCCCCCACCCCCCAAGCATTGATGATAGAACTCAGGAGCAGTCTACTACTGAAACTCCATCCCTTCCATCCCCCTTTTTTTCCTAATTTTGAGACAAGGTCTTAGTAAGTTGTTAAGTTTGGCCTCAAATTTGGAGTCCTCTGCCTCAGCCTCCTGAGTCACTGGGATTATAGGTGTGCACCACCATGCCCTGCTCTTGTGTTTTTCTTGAACAAGCTTGTTTTGTTCATTTTCAAGAAAATGTGTCAGATACCTAAATCTGAATAGCTATGGTTTGTCAGTTTCTTTCAAGTAAAACTGATATTCCATTAAAAAAGCAGCTGCTTCGTCTTGCAGCTCAGTCACATAAGTGCTTTTCTTCCAGACAACATCTGCATATATATCTGCTTTTCTGGTATACAGAAAAGCTTTTGTGTACATTTCCTATTTTATCACACAAAATATTAAAGATGTGTACACAAGGATCAAGATTTAACAAAATGTATAATTTTTGCTGCTTCATCAAGAACATTTAAAAATGAAACTGGCTCTCTAACACTCAATCCACTCAGACTGTGGTGAAGAATACAATGACTAAATCAATTTGTTGCTTCTTTACTGCCTTACTTGAGTCCTGTTAAGGCTCCAGCTATGTACCTACTATTGCTTTTACATTGCAAGTGCCAATGTCAACATGGTGCAAAATTGTGAAAATAATTTGATCTCATGGATTCCTTGAAAGAGCCATGTTTCTGCCCACATTTTGAGAACTGTGGTAAGATGCTGTAGATGATCTATAAGGTGGTTTTGACTTGTCATTCTGGTTGTTTAAAAAACAACCTGATTGGGGCTGGGGTTGTGGCTCAGTGGTAGAGCGCTTGCCTAGCATGCATGAGGCACTGAGTTCGATCCTCAGCACCACATAAAAATGAAAAAAAAAAAAAAAGATTAAAAAAAAAAAAAACCCAACCTGATTCTCTAAACGAGAGTAAATTGCAACTGTTTTATAATTTTGCCTTGAAATATGCTAGTTCCTAATTTTAAAAAAGTCCATTGGTGTACATGGCTTGGATTTATATTTCTGGGCCCAAAGTAAAGAGCTCATTCTGTTACAGACACTGAGTAGCTTTGTTTCTGACAGCTAGTAGTCAGCTCTCTGTTTTAAAACAATCACTTGGGTCCTGCTGGCTCAACTTGCAGTTGTCCTAATCCTAACCCTGTCTTAGCCAAAGACTATTGTTGGAAAGCTCACACAAAGGCCTTGTGTGCAGGGTGCCCTACTAATAAGGAACATGTTGTCGTCTCAACGGATTAAATCTGCTTTGGTATGCATTCCCTTCCCAAATTTCTCACTTATTTCCTCTGTTTGGCTGGTTATTTCAGCAAAACATTTTAATGTGAAGATAGCTTCTCATTATTACATAGTTCTAGTGGAGGGGATTACTGGAGTAATATAAAATGTTTCTTTCTCTGTGGTAGGATGTGATGGAGCTGCTTGAAGAAGATCTCACGTGTCCAATTTGTTGCAGTCTGTTTGATGATCCTCGAGTTTTGCCTTGTTCACACAACTTCTGCAAAAAATGCTTAGAAGGTCTCTTAGAGGGGAATGTGCGGAATTCGTTGTGGAGACCATCTCCATTCAAGTGCCCTACATGCCGGAAGGAAACCTCAGCTACTGGAGTTAATAGCCTGCAGGTTAATTACTCCCTGAAAGGTATTGTGGAGAAATACAACAAAATCAAGGTCTCTCCCAAAATGCCAGTGTGCAAAGGACACTTGGGGCAGCCTCTAAACATTTTCTGCCTAACTGATATGCAGCTAATTTGTGGGATCTGTGCTACTCGAGGTGACCACACCAAGCATGTCTTCTGTTCTATTGAAGATGCCTATGCTCAGGAAAGGGATGCCTTTGAGACTCTCTTCCAGAGTTTTGAGACCTGGCGTCGGGGAGATGCTCTTTCTCGTTTGGATACCTTGGAAACCAGTAAGAGGAAATCCCTGCAGTTACTGACTAAAGATTCAGATAAAGTGAAGGAATTTTTTGAGAAGTTGCAACACACATTGGATCAAAAGAAGAATGAAATCCTGTCTGACTTTGAGACCATGAAACTTGCAGTAATGCAAGCTTATGACCCAGAGATCAACAAACTCAATACCATCTTGCAGGAGCAACGAATGGCTTTTAATATTGCTGAGGCTTTCAAAGATGTGTCAGAACCCATTGTATTTCTGCAACAGATGCAGGAGTTCAGGGAGAAAATCAAAGTAATCAAGGAAACTCCTTTACCTCCCTCTACTTTGCCCACAAGCCCTTTAATGAAGAACTTTGATACCAGTCAATGGGAGGACATAAAACTAGTAGATGTGGATAAACTTTCTTTGCCTCAAGATACTGGCACGCTCATAAGCAAGATTCCTTGGAGATTCTATCAGTTATTTGTGGTACTCCTTCTACTTGGCCTCCTTATTTTCCTCATTTTCTTTGGTCCTACTGTATTCCTAGAATGGTCTGTATTTGATGAACTGGCAATTTGGAAAGACCATCTTTCGAATTTCAGTTTTTATCTGACTAAATCAGCTGATTTTGTAGAACAATCAGTTTTTTACTGGGAACAAGTGACAAATGGGTTTTTCATTTTCAGTGAAACAGTCAACAATTTTACTTTGGTGGTGCTAAATAATGTGGCCGAATTTGTGTGCAAATATAAACTATTATAAAATCTTCCAACTCTGCAGTTCTGTTTTTTGATAGAAATTATTAAGAGAATAGGTTAGTAAATCAGATTTTGTCAAGATTCCAATCAGATATTTTCCTCCAAAAGTATTCCTTTAGGGCTGGGGATATAGCTCAGCTGGTAGAGTGCTTGCCTTGCATGCACAAAGCCCTGGGTTCTAATCTTCAGCAACACACGCAGAAGTATTCCTTTTAAAAAATATTGTCCTAGGGTTGGAGTATCCCCAAGATTCAAAAGTATAAATTTGTTGGGGCTAAGGTTGAAGCTCAGTAGAAGAGTGCTTGCCTAGCATGTATGAGTCACTGGGTTCAATTCTCAGCATCACCTATAAATAAATAAAAAAAAAAAGTTCTACCAAAAAAAAAAAAAAAAACCCATCTGATACAAATTCACATTAAGTAGCATAAAATTAAAGGGGAAATTCGGTCATTCAGTTCTGAACCCTTCTTTTTTTAAAGAGTGCTATTAAAACAAATATTCTAATATTGGCTTTCTTTATGCTGTCATACAAATAAGAGCATGTCTGTAGTCCCAGCCTCTTAGGATGCTAAGGTAGGAAGATTGTTTGAACCAGAAGTTTAAGACCAACCTGTGCAACATAGATCTGGTCTCAAAAATCGACTACCACCAACAAACCCAAAAAAACCCAACACCAAACAAAAAGTGGGAGGTGAGAGAACACATGATCTAATTCTGTATTGATGTGGTATAGAATTTGGTAAAACCAGGCTTGGTGGCACATGCCTGTAATCCCAGTGACCCAGGAGGCTGAGGCAAGAGGATTGCAAATTCAAAGCTAGCTTCATCAATTTATCAAGGCCCTGAGCAACTTAGACCGTGTCTCAATATAAAGGACTGGGGATGTGGTTCAGTGGTTAAGTACACCTGGCTTCAATCCCTGGTACCCCTCCCCTCTCCTTCAAAAAAATTTCTGGTGAAGATTGGTCTTGTAAAGACAATTTTTTGGTGGTATTGGGTATTAAACCTAGGGGCAATCTACTACTGAGCTAAACCCACAGCTCTTTTTTTAATTCTGAGATAGGGTCTTGCTAAGTTGCCAAGACTGGCTTGCATTGGCCTTCCAAATTTTGCACTATTGTGCCTGGACTTAAGCAACCTTTTTGTGAATAGGTTGGAATTTTAAAGAAGAAAAGACAATGAATAGATTGGGTCTCCTAAGTCTTTCTGGAGGGTTGATTCCTTTCTCATGAAAATGTAAATCTAATGTAAACAAAAAAAACTGGTGTTCTCTTGTGATGTTTACATTTTTAGGAGGGTTTAGATTTAAACCTACCCCTTTCTCCTTTTCTATAAAATTTTCAACTAAAGATGATAAACTATAGAATTGTTAGGTGGCTGTGCAAAGGCATAGATTAAAAAAGAAAAAGCGATCCAACACTTGGCAGGAGCAGGAAATAGGAAAGTCACTTTTTTACTGGCAGCTGAATGTGGTTGTGGGTTCTAAAGTATGGCAGCTATACAACCAAATGAATTCCATTTGCTTACAGAATTTTAGTTGTTGTAAAACTTGACAGCAGATAAAACAATCTGTCCATTTGTAAAAAGTACAGAGTAATCAGAACATTAATAGTATACTATCTGCTCACGTGAGATAAAGAGGACAGAACAAAAGTACTAAAGTACTAAATTTTCTCACCTTGCTTAGAATTCAGATGAAAACAAGGAGGTAACCTTAGCTCAGAACTGCCTTGTTTCTGTTATGGAAAAAGGCATTCCTTTCAAAGCCCATTTTGTGGAACAATTTAGAGAACAGAGTATCTACTCCAGTCAAAAGAGATAAATTAAAGCAGATGTGGGGGTGCACGCCTGTAATCTTAGCAGCTCCCGAAAGCTGATGCAGGAATATCACAAGTTGAAAGCCAGCCTCACAACCTGGTGAGACCCTATCTGTAAATAAAATGTAAAAAGGGCGACAATAAAATGTAAAGTATGGAAGAAATAATTTCCTACTAGCTATGAGAAAAGTCAAAAATAATCTGCTGGGTGATGTATTTGCTGTTTCATTCCTAACAGCAAATATATCACCTAATTTGATGTAGCCACTAAATTGCTAAGGGGATCGTAAGAAATTCAGATTATGTTTCTATGAGAATCTTAACTTCTGCTGTAAAGGCTTCATAGTAAATAAGGGGCCTGAGGAAGGGGAGAGCTTTTTGGTTCCCAGTAAGTTTTTATTTATTTTTAAGCAAATATATGGTTTTTTGAAAATTATTTTAATATATATTTTTAGTTGTTGGTGGGCCTTTATTCATCTATTTATATTCGGTGCTGAGAACTGAACCTAATGCCTCACATGTGCTAGGCAAGCACTCTATCACTGAGCCACAACCCAGCCCTAAATATGTTTTACACCAGGATTTCATGGAGTTTTTTTTTTTTTTTTTTTTTTTAAGTGCTAGGGATGGAACCCAGGACCTTGCTCATGCTAAGCAAGTGCTCTACCACTGAGCTACATCCCCAGCCCCTGAGAATTTTAAGAGTTTGTCTTTTCCCTCCATATTTTTTATTGATTACAGATTAGTACATGCACACAATATTAACAATATAATTTGGCCAATATCTCAAGAAGCTTTAAAAATCAAATATAGGAAAGGGATCTAATTGACATCAATTCTCAGATATAGTGTCAGTTTTCCTTAAACTATTCAGTTTCATGTGTTAGTTTTCCCTTTTGTGTACTGCAAAGTTCCCAAGCAACTCAAATTTGCAAACACAACTATGGATACAATATTTGTTTTACAACAGTTACCCAGGGATCTAGGTTTCTGGTTTTGTTATTCTTCCTACCTCTTTTGTTTCTTAATCATATATAACAATATTTAGGGTAATAGGTTGGTTTACAAGTCCTTTAAGTCTGTGCCTGATGGCCTGTAGCCTCCAGTTTGAAACTAGAGAAGAATGAGTAGTCAGGAACTGGTCACTTTGAATGTGGGAGGGAAGATATTTACAACAAGGCTTTCTACTATAAAGCAGTTTCCTGCTTCTCGGTTGGCACGAATGTTAGATGGCAAAGACCAAGAATTCAAGATGGTTGGTGGCCAGATTTTTGTGGACAGAGACGGTGTTTTATTTAGTTTCATCTTAGATTTTTTGAGAACTCACCAACTTTTATTACCCACTGACTTTTCAGACTATCTTAGGCTTCAGAGAGAGGCTCTTTTCTATGAACTTGATTCTCTGGTTGATCTCTTAAACCAACACATTCTAGAGCCAAGATCTGCTTTCCTTGAGGTGCATTTCCTAAATCGAAACACGCAAGCCTTTTTTAGAGTGTTTGGCTCTTGCAGCAAAACAATTGAGATGCTAACTGGGAGAATTACAGTGTTTATAGAGCAGCCAGCAGCACCCACCTGGAGTAGTAACTCTTTCCCTCCTCAGATGACCTTACTTCCACTGCCTCCACAAAGACCTTCTTACCACGACCTGGTTTTCTACTGTGGCTCTGACAGCACTACTGATAATCAAATTGGAGTCAGGTTCGTATTTTGAAGTATCTCTCTTCTATTCTGGTTTCTGATATTTTCCCTCAAAATTCAAAGTTCCTCATGCCTAAAACTTTTCTTAGAAAAAAAGATTTTTGGGGTAACCAAGGGAGTTGGGTAGAATGACCAAATATTTTCTAAACCTGGACACTTCAGAGTAAAAGGTATTATGCAGGGCACTAGGAACAAGACAAGACTGCCGAGAGAAAATGGGACTGTGGTCATTCAAATTGTAGGAGGAAATAATTTTATAGATTATGTTCCATTGCTAAAAAGTTTGGTGCCAAATCCCAGTGACTTGGGAGGCTGAGGAAGGAGAATTGAATGCTTGAGGCCAGCCTTGACAATTTAGTAAGACACGTCTAAAAATAAAGAATAAAAAAATGCCTGAGGGGCTGAGGATATAGCTCAGTTGGTAGAATGTTTGCCTCTCGTGCACAATGCCATGTGTTCAAAATGCACCACAAAATAATTAAAATGAAAAAATTTTAATTAATTTAAAACAACTGAGTGATGAGGCACTAAGCAACTCAGACTCTGTCTCTAAATAATAAAGTACAAAATAGGGATGGGGATGTGGCTCAGTAGTCGTGCCTCTGAGTTCAGTACCCAGTACCCAAAAAGAAAAGAAATGAATCATCTTATTTTTTCTTTTTTCTTTTTTTTTAAGAGAGAGTGAGAGAGGGGAGAGAGAGGAGAGAGAGAGAGAATTTTTAATATTTATTTTTCAGTTCTCGGCAGACACAACATCTTTGTTGGTATGTGGTGCTGAGGATCGAACCCGGGCCGCACGCATGCCATGCGAGCGTGCTACCGCTTGAGCCACATCCCCAGCCCCATCTTATTTTTTCAAGAGATCCTTTTAGTGATTCACAGAAAGGCTCAGTAGTTTCTCTTGACTTCCTTATATACTCTGTATCTATTCTTTCAGTGCTTAAATTCAACTATTGATTTTTCTTCAATGAAGAAAAAAAGGCCTTTTATTTTTAAATACCCTTAAAGGAAGACATCTATCATGGCAAATTTGGTGTCCTAGTATATTCGTGTCTCTTATACATCTCAGAAAGTTGGGATAGGCTGTCAGTTTGTCATGGACAGCTTCTCTTGAGTCAGTTATTCACTTTTCCCTGTTTTTGGCTGGACTTAATGGCTGATTTCCACCCTGGAGTCAGGGATATAGCAGCTCTCACTCCTGTTAAAAATGTCTTAATGCTGTCTCACTATTATTTTACCAACTGGTTGGTTTTAATTTTTAGGAGGAAAATTAGAAAGCCTGTATGTGTTCTTTTTTCATAGCATTTAAAATAAAATACACTTTTTTTGGGTAAAGGTAAATAAGACATATTTTAGGATACTTTAACTTGAGCAGTAGTCATCAAGAAGAATCTAAGTGTCTACCTTTCCTACAACATACTCCTTGTTCTTGCTTACCAAATGGAGAACACTGGATAGTATAACCAAGTATGGTAATACAGATGTTTTTAC